ACCACTACATAAATCTATGGAAAGGATGTATCTGAAACATTGTATAGTATTCTGTTTATCATGTTTGGAAAGGATTACATCTTTAGTTTAGAAAAAAGGAGACTGAGGGAACATAGGCATGACAAAATCTGATCAAGAACTAATAAAACTGATTTGAAGGAGATTTAGCATAACTAAAAGAAACACTTCTTCACACAGTGTATAATAAATCTGTGGAATTAGATATCATAGGTCATGATGATATCTTTTAAATTGGATGGCTTTATAAAGGATGCTGGAGAAATTAACAGAAGATAGAACTGTCATAGGCTATTAGTCTTGAAACTCAAGATTACCACCAGGTTGCAGTACAGAAAACCAAAAACCCAGCCATAGAGAAACAGGAACAGGAGAAGAGCCTATCTCCTGCTTATGACCACCTCAGAAGCCAAAATGTGAAATAAAATGCTGGACTAAGAAGGGCTTTGGCCTTTTTCCACGGCACTGTACTTTTCTAATGCAAGTGTAATTTCAGGATGTTATAGAGGAACTTGGATATAGTGGCTACTTGGACATATAATGTCATGGTTCCAACAGACAGAGACAAATAAAGCAGAACTCCGAGGCTTGCAAATTCCTCAAAGAACATGTTTATTAGTTACAAAGTATCAGCACGTCAAAAGTGAAACCAAGTCTGAACAATTCCCCAATAAAAAGTTAATAAATCCCACCCCTAAGGCTATGCAAGCAACTATGTTCCCCAATACATCTTTTTGGCGGGCTTTTTACACAACGCCCAGCCTGCAGTCTCGGGAGCAGCCGATGACCTTGGTTCCCATGGCATAAAAGTTTATTTAGACTAGCAAAGCATCTGGCAATCCCCCCTCCCTCCTTTCTATGTGTCAACCGAAAATGAATAGGGAAGATGCTACAGCCGTGTTCATTTTTAAAGTTGACAATATAATTTGCTTCATTCAGGAACTTTCACTAAAAATTTCTTTATTAATTATGTTTTGTTTTGGAAGAAAAAATCAGTATATGACAACTGGAAAATAGGCCAGGAATTGGAGAGGTTTATTATATTGATTTGAGAACTTCTGCAGATTAACATATGGATGTCTCCATTTGCTCCATTGCTAACTTAGGGGAAGTTGCTGAACTTGAAGTCTGGCATTTTGTATCCTAATTAGATCAACTATCTAGGAGCTGGAGGGCAATAAGTTAATGACCAATATTTCTAGCTCTGTACACAGCAACCAAGTTGATCGTAGCAGATAGAATAACAGAAGTGCTCCTAATAACTATATTTTGCTTATGTTTGCCTCTGTTTTGATAGAGAAATGTGATGATTCAAACTTCCTTTCATTAACCAGGACACACCTTGTATTCTTTGTTACCACCCATTCCAGGCCTATTTTAAAGCAAGTTAATCTTTTTTACTGAAAGGTATAACTAACAACCCTCTGGTTCAGGCATGAGTTATTTTTTTTGGCTTGTGTGTTCCATCAACAGCTAAATCTTGAGAATGACCTGAACTTGTTTTAATTGTATTTACACAACTTTTCTCCATGTCCTTCCCATGGCTAGTCTAGTCTGATATTTACCTATTTGGATCCTATATAATATCCTGTGAATAAGATACAACAACTGCACACACAGAGCCAAAAAAAAAGCCTTGTTGCATCTTTTCTGTGCCATTCTCTCTCTCTCTTTCTAGTTTCTATTAATGGAAAGATCTAACTTTACACAACAATTACATTCATTAAAATGGAATATCTAGATCAGGGGTTGCAAACTCAATTTCATTGAGGGCTGCATCAGCATTGTGGTTGTCCTCAGGGGGCCGGGTAGGTGTGGCCAGGGTGGGCTTCTTTTTGGATTCGCGCCACCTGGCTCAGCCTCTTGGCACTGTGAGGACAGCGCCCCACTGCCTGCTGAAACCCCTCCCCCAGAGCCCATCAAGCCAGATATGTGAAGTAGGCAAGGGCCATTTGCTGGCCATTTCCAGCCAATGGTGCATTTCTTCATTCTTCACAAAGGGTGACACCTTCCCAGCGTGCGCCCATGGGGTGGGGCAAATGCAGCAGGGGTCGGTCCCTTGCTGTTTCCAGACAGCCTTGTGGAGCTAAGACTGAATGCATTTCAGCATAGTTGGCCACCACAAAATTGTACATTGGCTCCCAGGCGGCCTGGGCCAGGGCCAAGGCAGTGGGGACCATTCCCTCACTGTTTCCAGGATGGCTTCGTGGGCCATATGAAACCACGTCACGGGCCGCATCTGGCCCCCGGGCCTTGTGTTTGACCTGTCTGATCTAGATTAATTACATATAATAATTATGCAGTGGTGGGATTCAGCCGGTTCGCATCACTTTGGCAGAACCGGTAGCTAATTTTTTGTTACCCAGGCCCAGAATGGACTTCCGGAAACGGCATCCACACAGAGAACAGGTTGTTCACATATTTGAATCCCAGCACTGTAATTATGTTTCTGTTACTTGTGTTCTAAACTTCTTTTCTTTTCAGTCTCAGGTGAATCATCATACTTCCACCAGTAATGAGACGTATCAAGAACGTCTGACAAGATTAGAAGGTGATAAAGAATCTCTCATATTGCAGGTATGGAATTTATATAACCTTGTATTGATTATGCCATAACAAAGTCTTCCTTCTGACAACTATAGGGTATAGCTATGGGATTTTCTTGGCACTAATTTGGAAGTAATTTAACCTCTTGTTAAAAAGTATGAAAGACACTGATTCATTTGATAGTCATGGTGGCGTCAAAAATAATTTCATATTCATTTTCTTCAGATACAGTATATCCTGATTTTTACAGAAGATGAATCACCTAGCTGCTACATGTGAAAAATGTTTAGGCTTGTAGAATGGTTAAACCACTTTATTCTTTTTAGAGCAACTGAAAATAGTCTTAAGAGTCATACACTTGTACAAGTCAATGTAACTTATCAGTGCAGTCTTTTGTGTCCTTGTGTAAAATCAGCTTCCTGTATTTAAAGCTTCTATACTGGTTCATCTTCCCTAAGCTGATCATTGCTAAAGGAGCAATAAATGAGAACTTCAGTTTTCTGTCTGCTGGATTTCTGCTATAATGGTGGATTCATTTACTATACTATAGATATAAGGGTGTGACCTGGCTGGATTGTCCATTTACTAAAATTATTGCACTTCTTGTATTGGTTTGTTATCAACTCTGACAAATGAATGGCTATTTCCCATGCCAATCCTAGGAGCATTCTACCCAAGGTACTCCCTTGGCATTTTACAAAGCAGTAATGGAAAATAAGCAAACACACAAACCATCAAATCCAATTATCTACTGGGCCTTGACTTTCAATAAAGTCTTGGAATGATTTATGGAAATAGGTTTATGGAACTTATTGAAAAGTTCAATATCCTTCACTATGCCAGTTCTCTTGAATTCCTTGGCAATGCCTTGGCTGTCTGTTTTTTTCTTGCTTGTCTCACATTAACATGAGCCTCTTCTTTTTGTGGCTGCCAAGAACATGTTTCCTAGCTCAGATCAATGCTAATCTCTTTCCTCATCAAATAGGGAAATAAGACTTATCAAGCAACTATAGTATAAAGCAGGATAAAACAAACATACAAAAGTTACAATTAAGGTGCAATGTGTTTTCCTTCATTTGTTTTTCCTCATTTGTTTGTTTGTTAAATTTATTTGCCATCTATCTTGCTGTGGGGCTACTCTAGGTAGCTTAAAAAAGGAAGAAATGAAAAGAGTATAAACAGAACAGAAGTAAAATAATAGAACAATAAAATAAACAATGAAAAAGAACACAATGAGAATACACCAAAAGGATGGATGGGTGGAGAGTAGAGAGCAAGGAGGGGAAGTGGAGTCTGTTATCAATCCAGCAGCCACCTCCAGTGTGGAACTTCCCCATTTGATCCCCAGGCCAATCAGCAGAGCCAGGTCTTCAGGCTCTTGGGGAAGGATGGGAAGGCGAGGACATCTTAGAGGGTAAGATGTTACAAAGGGCAGGTGCTGCAGCAGAGAAGGTTCTTCTTCTGGATCCTGATATTCAGAATTGTCTCAAAGGTGCTTTGGACTGTTGTTTTTTTTCTTGAGGAAGATATTTCACTTCTCATCCAAGAAGCTTCATCAGTTTTGGCAGGATGGTGTGGGAGATGGAAGGATTAGTTCTGACAGGATGGGTGGTGGTGATTGGAAGGATTATATTTCTTTGCTGTCATCAGGTCGTTAGCACTCTCCCTGGGAGGTCTTGAGGCCACTTGGGGGTTCATCTCCCCTCAGAGTCACCTGTATCAGAGTGCAAATGGGGGTGGAATCTTCTTGGAACTGCTGAAAGAACTGCGGGGTAGACAGGAGCCAGGTGGTGTCTTATCCCTCCCCCAGAGTTCTTTGACCAACAAGGTCGAAAGTAGGCCCTCTCTGTCAGCATATCTAAGATATGTCCTAGAGGGATTGGGCAGTTCATCAGGTAGCCTGAAGCAATGCCATTAAGGGCTTTAAAGGTCAGAACAGAAAACATTTTCATTTTCTGTTTTATCTGGACAAAAAAGATATATACCAGTGATGGCGAGCCTTTTAGAGACCAAGTGCCCCAAAACTGGCCCCGCCCCTGGCCCGCCCCTGCTCCGCCCTCACCCTGTCTGCCCACAGGGCCATCTCCAGGGCCTGCTGCAGATTGTCCAGCAGTGCCATGGCAGCCACGCCCTCTGCCCACGCCACGCAGCATCAACTGTGCGCGGTGGGGCATGAGGGCAGAGTCTTGTCTACGCTGCCTGGCTGCCATGTCCTTGACTGCACTGCTCCACGTGGGCCACGCTCTGGGGCAACCCTTCTCCAGGAGGGCTGCTGGTGAGGAGGGTGTCACAGGGGGAGGCAAGGCTGGGGCAACGGCACGTGTGCCCACAGAAAGGACTCTGAGTGCCGCCCCTGGCACCCGTGCCATAGGTTCACCACCACTGAAACATACAGTTGTTTCCAAACTTGGGAATTTAGCTACAGTATTCTTAATTTTCTCCAAAAAGTATAAAGGGTTTTCCTTATTTTATTTTATTTTTTTATTTTATTTTATTATTTTATATTATTTGATTTGTCATGTTTCTAGACAGCTCATGCTCCCTTAAGATTCTTGTCAATACCTTGTTTCCCCCAAAATAAGACCTAACCGGAAAATAAGCTCTAGCACTATTTTTCAGGATGCTTGTAATATAAGCCCCACCCCAAAAATAAGCCCCAGTTAAGATCATCAGCCATCGTATTTCTCCCCAAATAAGTCCTAATCGGAAAATAAGCCCTAATGCGTCTTTTGGAGCAAAAATTAATATAAGATCTGGTCTTATTTGGGGGAAAATATGGGTAGTAGAACGTTATCCAAGAGAAAGACAAAAGGCCAGATCTATATGGTGATCTATTTGCCTCTTGGAGAATGTATCTTCTATGATAGAAGGAGCATCTTCCATGATAGAACTGCACTTCTTAAACTGTGCCACAAGGTAATCTTGAAACAAAGCCACAATTTTTGTTCTGTGTCCCTATTATTTTCATGAGCATGGTCATTTATCCTTCCATTGGCCTTAAATGTTCATGATAGTTAATTGAAGATGAAGTAATTAAAATATTTTTTGTGAACTGCATATCTATTTCCTGCTCTAGTATCTATTTCACATTCAGAAAAGCAGGTGCAAGTCGTTAATGTTTCTTTTATGAGGCATTGCCTAAATGGTGCATCATGTAGAAATATAACATTATTTGCAAAAGTACATTTGTGCTGCAAGTAATAATTGATTCAATTATTTTGCAATAGCTTGTACAATTTGGCTAATGCAAGAGATTTTATAATGGATCTAATTATTATTAATAGGTGTCTTATTAGAAATATTTTCATTTTCATAAAATCAATTGCAGCATTTTTACTCACCGAATATGAAATACCTGAATTTTTGTACATATAGTATAGTACGTATAGTAATAAAAACATGGTGTTCTGATTGCAACTAAAAATGTTTAAGGTTGATGTTCCTTCAGACCAAAGCAGGATTCCCACAAGTGACTTATTAATATCTTTTAGATTTGTACCGGCATTGTTGTGTCAATATAATAATGACACAACAGGCTTTACATTGTCTCAGTGATGGTCAGGTAAAGCTAAAGAAAGCTGTAGGACACTAATGGGAAAAATCCTAAATTGAGAGGATACGGTTTATGAAAAAAAATGTATAACCAATGTTTGCATTCACAGTTAACAACTTTCTCCTTAAATCTACGTTACTTTAGAAAACCTATAATTATGTACTATTACAAAAGGTATGTCACTAATCCATCGTTCTGCAATAGTTCCTTTATTAATACCAATCCTGTCCAAAAGAAGGAAGGAGATAGCAAATCCACAAAGCTCTTCAATCAATTTATCCCAGATTTTAAGTTTTATAAAGACAAAAGAAAGCTGAATGGTGTGAATCCCCATTTATCATATGATAATTATAATCACATTATGAATCACATTTTCAGATGGATTACAAAAGCTGCTTTTTTAAAAAAAAAATCCAAAGGTATTATTGTATTTCCTAATTTCTTTTAGGATGGAATTATTTATTTCTTAATAATGTTTTTCTATAAATCTCTCTGAGTAATAACAATTCTCTCTTTTGTTGCAATTTCATGGCATAAATTCTCTGTTCTTGTTCAAGCTTGTATACTTTGAACTGGTGAGAACTAGAACACTGACAGTACTAGGACATGTCTTTTGTGTACTGCGTTGTGTAAGTTAGAGAAGCTTTATTTGATAGGTGAGCTTTTCTTGTAAGAAGAACGGTTATTGGTTAGCTTCCTGAAAGGTTTTTTGCTTTGTGTTTTTCCTGCTTTTAAGGGGAAAATTGGCAAAAGCTGAAAGGACTTTGCTTGCTCAAAGCCTGCTTAAAATATTAACAGGGTTTGTACAAAGGCTTTTTCCTTCAAAGAAGTGTTTAATGTAAATACTGATGCATGGTCTTCAGGTCAATTTTTAACAGATCATTTTTTCTTTTTTTAAATTAATTAAAAATCTTGTTGATTCATTTTTAAAGTGCGATGTAGTGACTTTTAAGGTGAGAATTATAACTTTCTATATAACTTTTTTAACAATCAGTTTGTAATATTTGCAGAAGGGTTAAGAGGTATGTGATATAGAAGACAGATCTAGGTCTGTGGGGAGGTGGGATTCAAATCCTTTCTCAGACATGAAATTAATTGGAAAACTTTAATATGATTGTGTCCCCCCAAAAAAACAGATTTGACAGCTGAAAGTGTTAGTATTTTTATGTGGTTACTATTGCCACCGTTGTTGCTACTGCTACAGTCCACCTCATCCTTATCTTTAAATTATAGGTGAGTGTTCTCACAGACCAAGTTGAAGCCCAAGGAGAAAAAATCCGAGACTTAGAAGTTTGCCTTGAAGGGCACCAGCTGAAGCTTAATGCTACAGAAGAGATGCTTCAACAGGTAGGAAAACAAGGGTTTTTTTAGTGCAAGTTCTTCTTTAAACACTCTTGATTCTACAGACCCTTCAACTAAGGCTGAGATTAAGTATGTTTCCAATGATCAGCTGTACTTATTTGCTTTGTTCTTGAATTTTTCAGTCATATTGCATTATATTGCTATTCAGCTGGGATGTAAAGTAACACTACTGTGTACATTATTCATGGCTATCTGACGGTGAAAATTCAACAAGAGAACTGGATGTGGCTAAGAACCTGTTTGACTGGTTACCTACTCTTCTAATAATATAGAAATTCATTGTAACTGAGAGCTTAGAAGCTGTTTCTGATCTCTCTCCTTTGTGGCTGAAATTACAGGAGATTTGAAGTGAATTTACAAGTTTGGAGACTGGTTTACATAAATGCTTAAATAAAATATATTTTTAAATAAAATAAAGGATATCAATGTAAAATTTCAAAATGAAGTCTATAAAATCATATGGCAATTTTTTTTTCAAACACCCCCCCCTTACAATTTTTGTTCTCAAATCAAACCAAGAAGAAAACATTTTTACGCTACCAATTAATTACTTTTATTACAAAGAATCTAAGCAACACAGCAGTTTATTGAACTATGGAAACTAAATTCCGTAGTTGCCCAGTTAAAATAAACAATAACAACAAATGCTTTAAGAGGTAAGCATAATATAATATGGCATATACAGGTAGTGCTCAACTTACAACCATTTGTTTAGTGACCATTTGAAGTTACAACGCTACTGAAAAAAGTGACTTATGATCATTTTTAACATGTACAACTGTTGCAGCATTCATATGGTCACCTGAGCAAAATTCAGAGGTTTGACAATTGGTTCATATTTATGACAGTTGCGGTATCCTGGTGTCGTCTGATCAGCTTTTGTGCCCTTCTGACAAGCAAAGTCAATGAGGAAGCCAGATTTACTTAAGGACCATGTTACTAACTTAACAACTGCAGTGATTCATTTAACAACTGTGGCAAGAAAGGTTGTAAAATGAGCAAAACTCATTTAAGAGCTGTCTCACTTAGCAATGGACATTTTGAGCTCAATTGTGGTCATAAGTCAAGGACTACCTGTAATTAGCTGTTTGCAGGAAACAAGTATGGTGTAGTAGAGAAAGTATTGGATAGGAGTTGGAAACTTAATCCTAGTCCATCCTTAGCTCTATAAATTGACTGGGTGACTTTGGATAGTCAATCTCTCGTAGCTCAATATACCTTACAAGTTTGTTATTGGGAAAATAGGAAGAGGCAGTGCTGTCTAAACATTGAGCTTTATGAAAGGTAGGATATAAATTTAACAAGTAAATAAAATCAAAATTCCAATAGTAGATCCAACTGTTTTCTTTTATAACAAAAAGCATACAGACATTAGATTGATGCTACTAATAAAAAAAAGGATTACTGAATTAAACAATAACAGTGATTATTTAAGTCCAGATGGGCTATAATAGATAAGAGTACTGGAGTCAACCTGGGACATTCAGTTTCAAATCTCTACTCAGCCATAAAAGTAATTGAATGATTTTTAGCCAGCCATTATCTTTTAATCTAATCTATCTCATAGGAGTATTAGGAAACTAAGAAAACAACAACAAAAACTGGGGAGCAGATGAGATATTTTTTCTACACAAAAGCTGGATCCCATCCTTTCTTTCTGAGATCCAAATCATAGAACATAAAAAAACAGACACCACAAGATAGCTTACCTTTTCCTCTGAAGTTTAGGTAGTCCTTGATTTACAGTAGCAGTTGGGATCAAGATTGCTGTTGCTAAGCAATACGGTCATAAAGTACGATGTTACGATGTTAATGAAAGCAATCCTGGAAGTACAGGTTGCCATTGTAATCCCAGGCCATGTGGGCCGTTAAGTGGGGAAAATGGGAATCCCAGGTAAGGAGTGGGGGGGGAGCAGTGCTGCAGGCAGACACTAGGAAGCATGGCTAATGTGGTGGTTATAAGAGAATCAATGGAGGCCTCAGGTGGGTCAGCAGAAGCCACAGGAGACCCAGGGGAGGCATTGGGCAGATCACTGGAGGCCACTGGAGGACTGACAGAGGGCTGGCAGCTTCACAGTAGCCATAGAATGGCTGACAGAGGCTCCAGGTGCGCTGGCAGACACTGCTGAAGAGCTGCTGGAGGCCGTGGAGGGGCAGCGGGGTACTATGGGCAGTGGCATATTATGGAGTCCAGGAAGGCAGGGAGTGCCAGAGTACCAGATCCCTGTATTTATACAAACTCACATTGAAATTTTCACTCTTCTTGTTGCTAGTTTTTGGCAGCATAATATTCTAATTCAGCAAATGTAATTAAATAGCTCTCCAAAGTGGTCACAGACCATCACGCAAGATTATTTTCATGCACTGTAAACTTGCAAGCATTTGTTTTCAGTGATGTTCCTTTAATGTTGACTCCAGTCACCTCTTTCCAGTCTTTCTGGTAAATTAAGAATTTATCTGTGGTAATTTAGGAATTTCTCTATAATGCAGGAAGGAAATAGTAATTATTTGTAAATTAAAACTGCTAAATGTTCACTGCTGTCTCTTTTCAGTATGAAATGTGCTGCTTCTGGGTTGAAACCTACGTATTTATTAACCAATCCACTTGTGAATTCTATTTTCTTTTTTTCCTTTACCTCTCTACTGTAAATAAATGTTTTTATGTAAAATAGTATATGTTTTTATATTTTGAATAGACCTGACCACCTGGGGAACATAGGCAATCAGGAATCATACAGAAAAAAATGTGATTTCATAGCACCATCCTTTGGCTATTTACGTGTGTGTGTGTGTGTATGTGTGTGTGTATATATGTACATGTATATTTAAACCTTTAAACTACTAACAGCTGAAGCTTTCAAGGTAGTATATAATAAAACACAATTAAAACATCCAATCAAATAAAATACTAAATAATTCAAACACATCTCAATACAAATACATACTGATAGTTGTCAAAAATCTAAAATAATATGAATGATAATGCAATTTTAAAAGGCTGAGAAAATAAAATAATAAAATAAAAAGATCTTCACCTGCCACCAAAAGGATGCTAATGATGAGCCTCTCTGCAGAGGGTATTCCATTTATTCATTGGCTGCCACCACAAAAATGCTCTGTTAGTTTTTTCAGGGAAGCCAGAAAAGGCCTCTATCTTACTTCATCTTCTGGATGAAAAAAAAAATCAATCCTCTCACATCCCTCTTACTTTTAATATTTGTATTCCACAGCACTTTTAAAATTTAATAGTTCAAAGTTCATTTTGGGTTTAACAGCACTGTTTCTAGGACATAGTGATACTTACTATCGATAGCTTTTTTGTCTCTTTTGAATGGTGTATAAATACGGTTTATTTCTCTGTGTCTATTGATGGCTGACTTGTCTAAATGCTAAGCTTCCAGGAATCCCCTTACATATTTGGATTTAGCTTGGCCTGTTGTTTATAGTTCCCCAGTTGAAACTATGGTTGAATCTGTCCATGTTTTGTGAGATTAAGGAGTTTTCATCATGTCCTCTGTCTGCTAGTTGGTATTCACAGATGGACTCTGGGAGTCTTCTGCCCATTGCAGTCCTTATTGTTGTCTTTATCTTTAGCCGCAATGTGAATTTTGTGACAAAATGTTCAACATCCAAACATTGAGAGGAAACTTACAGGAACATTTATTATTTTCAGGAAGATCCATGGCGTACAGCCGGAGTTGATGTCTGGGATGAAGCATAGCCCCATTTGACCCCATTCTTATTTTTGTCTTAGGCAGTTCTAGCATGCATTCATTAGGCTTACGTGTTGCACTGCAGAGCTTTGCTATTTTCTGCCATGTACATTCTTCAAGGGACATATGCCTGTTTCTCAGCTTTGCTTGGAAACTCTGAAGCTACCATTTTATTCCTAAACTCTTTCCTTTTTCCAGGACATTTTTCAGTCTAGTCTGGCCTTTAGCCCTGAATTTCCTGATTCTCTTTCATACAAGTCTAGCCAAGCTCAGCTGGGTTGTGTCACAGAGGCAGGCAGGCCATTTTTACTGACATGACAACAAGACTGCCCCCCCCCTTTTCAGGTTTCAGATCTCAAAAAGACATGACAAAAAAGGCATTAGTTGTTGATGCTATGCAGATATTATAACGACCAGTCGTAATTGCTGAAATGCTGCAGGAGGTTTTTAGTTTTTTAAAGCTCTTTGCCCCTGAAAAATGTTCTTGTTTAAGCTTTTTTGAGTTATATCTAAAATTAGTGTTGAATATAAATGCATAAGCCTATTGTTGAATTGGTTTGCTCTGGCAAATTTGGGCTTTCTCCTTTTCCTTAGATTTGCAATGTTTTAAACAGTGAAGAGGAAGGCTGTAGGCCAAAGCCTGTTACTGTGTAATAACACAGTCAGATTCTTTGCTGCGTTTGACTTAAATGAGTAGTATCCCATCCCTTTTACATCTGAGCTGACACATGGTTCTTCTAAAGTGCAGCCTTCATACAATGGTGATTCTTGCTGAATTTTGCAGAACAGGTAGGATTTTTTCCAAACTTCTTTCATGAAGAGATAGAACATAATAGTTTGCACTTTCAACAATATATATTTTAATAAAGCATATATACTCTTTTGGATTGTTCCATTGTAGTAAAAGATTTTCTTCTTTGTTTCTGTCTTCTAAATTCCTGCTAGTTGGGAATTTTGCTGCATTTTCAAACTGCATTTGTTAAATAATTTTATTTTAAATAAACAATATTTCAAAAACTGTGCTGTTTTGGAACATACAACTACAGTATGAATCTTTGCTGCTGTTCTATACTTTCTATACTATTTAATATACCATATTATTATTGCTGTTATGTAGTATTTATATATTTATTCAATGTATTTCACATTAATTTTTGAAAATTACACTTGTAAATCATAAAATGCGAATAATCTCATGGAAGATCCTTAGTTTAAAAATCAATCTTAAAAATAATATACGGTGCTAATTTATAGTATTATATTTGAAAAATATGAGTGATTGATAAGTGTATGAATCATTCATAACCACCTACATTGTTTTTCATGAAACCAATTATTTTCTTGGAAACTGTTTTAATTGATAATAAATACATATATATTAATATAAATAAAACAATAATTTAGATGGAAGCATAATGCTGTAAATAATATATATTCCATTTTCTATGGCTCTACTCTGTTCTTTGCCATTCATATTGGAGTTTCTATAGATTTCAGATGGCATATATTGTATTTTCACTTCAAAATTAACAACTCTGAACTGTACTTTTACTTCTTACAACTCCATGTTTATTTAAGCTGTCTTCCAATTGCATCATACCGCTGGAATACTCTGTAATTTCCACATAGCAAAGTGGGCCATATTCCACTAGCGAATTGGTCAACGTAAGCATCTGCTTGAAAATAGAAGTAATTACTTCCACATGTTAGTAACTGCACCATGGTGATTTCTTTAAGCTCCACTTCAAATAATTTTCAGTTCAGTATATTTTCTGGGCCACAAGTGTCATTTGGTTAACATTTAAGATGGCCTCACTGAAATGTAATCTGGATTAAATGAAAATATAAAACAAACTTTGAGAGGTTATAATTGTAGTTCATAGAGGTTTAGGACAGTATATATCAGTGATGGCGAACCTTTTAGAGACCGAATGCCCAAAACCAGAAAATTTGGGCTCAATTGTGGTCATAAGTCAAGGACTACCTGCATAACACGGGTGTCAAAATTGCCACATCACGTGACATGTCATGACGTATCACAACTTTTTTCACATTGCTGGGGTGGGCTTGGCCTCAGCATGATGCAACCGGCCCGTAAGCCGGCAGTTTGACACCCCTGATCTACAGTAATTAGTAGATATTATGGGTTTGCTGATGTCACATAGCATATTCCTCCAGTTTTTGTTTTGTTATGGTTTTATTGTGGTCCTGTTTCCTGGGATTTCTTCCATATGCTTCAGCTAAGGGTTTTTTGCTTTTGTTTTTTGGAGCTCATCTTTGTATTTTCCAGTTTCCTGGTGTGATTTCCTGGGATGTCAATGAGAAAGTTGGCAGGGGTCATGCAGTAGTTAAGTTTCTGAATTTTCTCAATTAGCATAAATTGGTTGCAGTGCCATTCTTTAACTGTTTCACTTTGTATTTTTACATAGATTGAAATCTATACTATTTGGCTCAGGCAGAACCTTTAGAAAACTTCAACCTTCTTCAAATCATTTTGAAGTAAGGTCCTCGACTTTATGCATTGATAATTGATTATTGATAACTGTACAGTACATTTCGGCAGCAATCCTTATGCTGGTTTTTCTCTAGAAACACCTTTCTGGAGGCTAAAGCAGCTTAGTCAATTTGGTTGTTGATATTGTCTGTGGCAACTATTTTATATTCTTGGATAATTTGGCCAATGTATGTAAATCGCTCAAGTGAGCTTCATCAAAGGGTACGGTTGTCTAGGAATCATTGGTTGTGAATACCTTGGTCTTGTCAATATTGATGGTTAGATATAAGCAGGAGTTTTTATATCAGGCATGATTTCATAGGCATATCTTTCTTTCATTGGCTGCAAAATAACATTTGATCTATGATGAAGTCATCTTGTCCAAATATGACACCATCCTAAAAAGTAGACTTCCACTTTACTGCATTGAATCCCAAGAGAGAGCAATCCCATCTTGCCTTTCACCAATATATACAGGGAAGCCTTTGGACATTTTGTCGTTAACAAGAACTTTGTCATCCTTCATACATTGTATAAGTGGAGCAAGGGGCATATTGTTTTAGCAGGAACACCTTTTGGAGTAGCACCATTTATACCATTGCGAATGGATACTATCAAATGCTCCTGCAAAATCAGTAAACACAAGAATAAGTCTGTATATTGATGTATTTCATAAACAACTGACATTGTATTTTGGTCACAGCATCTTCTTCCAGGCAAGAAAATGTCCTGTAATTCTTGGATAGTTGTTCTCATCTTTTGTGAAGCCTTTGTTGAATTACAATTGACTCCAAGATAATCCTGCATTAATTATCTCTTTCTTGACAATTAAAACTATTCCAGAAATTTGATATTTCCTTTACCAGACCATTTGAAGGAGTGGAATCAACAACTTTGTCTATCACTGCTATCTTTAGTACTCTCTGTGTCTTCAATTACTCCAGCTATTTCCTTCTTTTTTAATAGGTGTTGCCTTCATGCAAAAAAGTTGTTTATTGACTGTAACACAAGACAGAAATTATTTGTGTTGCATTTATTTGAAGTGTTCACTATTAGGCCTCTTTTCATTTTAGGGCAAATTTCTAATTCCAATGCTAGTAATCATTTACTCATGGAATGTAAAGATTGAAGAGGACCTTGGCGATCATGTGGTCCAAACCTCTGCCCAAGGCAGAAACCTACCACTGTAGCATTACTGGCATGTGACCATTTCTATTTAAGCACTTTCAGTGAAGGAGAGTCCACCACCATTTTATTTTTGAACAACTGGGAAAATTAGGACAT